CGGTGAATTCGGCTGATTGAAAGTAACGGAAATTGAAGACAGCAAACCCATTCCATGCTTGGTGATTTCGACAAATTTCTGTAAAATTCCGCTGGTCTCGAAGAAAATTTGTAGATGGTTCTGCTAGAAGCTGTGGATCTACATCTCTTTTCATTGCCCCTACTCCGCATCGCACGAAATATGCTCACATGTTTTTTTTCCTGCCGTATTAGTGAGTAGGAGCGTGTAGATTCAATATGAATTGTACAGTCGGTATATTATGATTGTAGTAGTGACCCTGAACTCTGCGATTCAAAGCATTGTGGCATTAACAGCAGTTTCTTCGTCATTAAAAAAGAATGCCATAATCTGACATTGGTTGGGCCTTTGCGTCGTGACTGGGCATGAATCCCACGCACTCCATACATTTTTCGGACCGACGTCGACCCGATAATTCAATTTCCGCCAGCGAAAACGTCCGCAGCGCTCTTCCTGCTAACATAACGGAGCGTTAACGCTACTTCATCGTGATGAATCTCCCATCTGACAAGGAGAGTTAATTAATTTTTAATGCATGACGCGAAAAATAGACTATATGGTTTAATTATAAATTATTTAACTCTTTAATTAGTTGAGTAATAGAAGGTTTCGCAATGACCTTAATTTTTGTACATAAATTGCGTGCCGTAATATTTCTTCAACAAAAGATATTGTCAGCTTTACAGATTTTTAAATAATAACCGTTTCTATATTAACAACGTGTGTGGTTTTTTTAATTATTCATCTCTATAAAACATCTCATTTGAGGCCATTGTTGAACCAGCCGTTTCGAAACCAATAAAAACCAAATCTCATTTCGATTACAGTTTACGAAGGCTTTATTATGAAAGGACCAAACGAAAAATTGGGATACTCCGGGTGGAAACAAAAGCCAAATGGCCTTGCTCCTATTACGAAGGCCTCAGGAAATGTTCTGGTTTTACTTTCTCTCTAAGGCTGGTCTCAAGTACGTCGTTGATCGATGTCTTTTAGAGGCCTTTTGTAATTTACGTTTATGTTAGAGACACTAATATGCAGGCCAGGCGAAAAAAACATCTTGCGCCTCCGATATTGTGGCCTTGGTTTTTGATAGACTTATTTTTGGGAACAAAGTCAGTTTACATATATTTTTTTTGTTTTTTTTACGGTTTCTGCATTATAAGTAACATAAACAAGTTTGCAACGGATTTATTGAAAATTTCCCACACCATCGATCGTACATACGTTAATGGTACACTCTTTGAACTCAATCGTATAAACAGCGTGCGTACTTACAGCACGCGTACAAAAAAAAAAAACTCCGCAAATTTCGCCCCAAAAATATTGTGAAAACATTTATGTACGTGCATGTTTGTATATTTTGTTATTTATTGTGTTTAAATTAGAACCATCTCAGCGTATTAATATCTATATATTAATACGTGAACCAAAAACTTTGTATCCCTTTTTACGAAAATTGCGCGGACGGAGGAGTATGAAATTTTCCACATTTATAGAGAATATAGAGAAGAAGTGCACAATGCTAATATTTTTTAAAATAATGCATGAAAGATACATTAAATCAATAAAGAAAACATTACACACACTACATACCATGTATTTGACGCACACACGCATGCATACTATTTATTGTCAAACTTTTGCTCTTGACGTCTGTTGTCAAATTGAGAATAGATTAAATATTGTTTGTCCTTATTAATATTTTTTTATAGTGTAGCCTTGGCGAAATTTGTGATTGTAGAAGTATAAAGTACAATCATTATTATGATTGTGAACAAACTTACAATTCCAATTAATTATAGTCGAATTTCGACTACTGCTGGACCTCTAGTCTATTTTAATCTTGTTACGACCAAACGAATCGCTTACCCGAAGTTGAATAAGTAAAACAGCCATACGTTGTTAGACATTGAAAGCGGCCCATTGTTATTTATGGCCCAATTTCAATGGCGCTCTATCGGGAAAACGGTTGTGAGATCCACATCATAAAGTTTTGAAACACGTCCGCCTTTAGTTGTAGAGTAGCTATGGTTTGCTTTCAAAGACCTTCAGTAGCTGTTTTCAAAAGGATGGTCGTTGACATCAAGACTAACTTTGTTGTTAAAAGTGTTTGAGGAAAAATCCTAAGATCACAAGCGCGCTCAAATAAGTCCTTTTAAATTGACCTCGATATTTTTTAATGATTACTTGTCCGTATTTATAATAAGACAGCAGCAGTTTGTGAAATATTCGTTTGTGAGGTTAATTAAAGTATGTGTAAGCGGGGGACTAACTTTTGATATCTAATTTGTGATTTGGTTGAATGCTTTGGGTAATATTTGAGACTTTGAACATTAAACGCGAACACTGTAGAACCTTTGAAATTGTTAGGCTGTAGTGTACGAAAGTGTAAGTATGGGGAAACGTACATACCCATTCTTGTTCAACACATATTTTCATAGTCACGGACGATCACATAAATATCAAATAGTTTAAAGTAAGCTTTTAAGATCTTGTTTATAAAATGCGTTTGTAGTCAGACGAGCAAGCATACGGCCTGCTGCTGATGGTGAGTGGTTACCGTTGCTCAAAGACGTCAGCGGTACCAAGGGCACAGCCAAGTCGATGCCTATCACAGAGTACTCTGCGCAATCTCGTTTGACGAAAGACATATCATAGACATCCATAACGAGAAGGGACTATCTGTTTCGTTTTGATTCAGTTTTCATTCAAATAGCCCACTAGGAAATTTATAGTCACCCGATGGTGACTCCGCAAAGATTGGGGTCGCTTTGAATGTCCTGCACATTGGTTGCTTTTTGCAAAGAAGTTTTTTTTTTCCTGCCTATGCTGATAGCCTTGAGAGGCTATTTCAGCTTCACCCTAACGTGTGTAGGTGAGCTCACGGGGCTCAAACCGGAGCGTTGCTAACACAAACCCTAGCAAGAGCAGTGCTTCGCAGAATCTATCACCGGATCGGAAACACGACCCACTGAGAAAATCCGGCGAGAAACTCAGTGGGCTGGAAAGAAGCATTAAGTTTTTCGCGGATCGTGAATAAATCTTAGAATTCTCGTATTATGTAAGACGTTTTACTTCAGGTTACGGTTAAGTCAAGCTCTTAGTTTGAAACACGAAAGGGAAAAAAGGTTTTTGTTTCTCAAGATGATGATCTTTGCTTTGGTGATCATTTACGGGTAAGAGGTAGTAAGTACTTGTAGTCTTTGTACCCGCTAAGTTTAAATTAAATTGACCACCCTATATTTGTAGTGGACCGGTATTGCCTCCGTCGAACAGCTGTTCCGGCTGGCTGCTGATAAAAATGAGTACAGGAAGCTAATGGCCAACCTTCAGGATTGAAGAGGCACTGAAAGAAGAAGAAGAAGACCCTATATTTTGAACAGCACAAATTAATCAAATCAATCTTCGTTCTAGTGTAACAACCACTTAATGGGAAAAGTAAATAGGTTTAATCAAAACATCCACCATTGCAGATATTGGAACTAGTAGATTACCGGTGGTAGGGCTTTTTGTAAGCCCGTTCGAGTAGGTTCCAGTTGTTTATGCCGCGAATTAGTTATAATTTCCGGTTGAAGGATGAGATAACTGTTATACCAAAACAATTTGGATTTAATGCCGCTGCCAAGGTTTGTGCTGCTGGTTACGTAACACCAGGCGAACCCGTAGCAGCTCTACCCATCAAGCGCAATATAAGAATGCGCCTCTCAGTCAACTACGTGACAATTTACTTAATTGCTTCTTTTTACATATAAAATATCATTGCTTAATTGACAAACAATTTACCAGAATAATATTTGGTTTATTTTTTTAATTGCTTGGGTGGGTGAACGAGCTCACGGCCCACCGGGTGTTAAGTGGTTACCGGAGCCCATAGACATCTACAACGTAAACGCCGCCACCTTCCTTGAGATATGAGTTCTAAGGTCTCAGTAAATTAAAAGATGTTACGTAGACATCACGTGACTTTTTAATTGAATGGATTTTATTATAATTATTGATGTATCTGTTGGAGTGATCGTCTGGTTTTCTTATAATAAAGACGCAGATTTTTATGGATAGTATTTATTCTATCGGCGATACAATTTTTGTGTCCGTACTCATTGACGACGCAAGAACGAAAAAAGGGACGCGCACACAAACGACGTTGACATATATAACAAGAGTGACAGCTGTCAGTTGGTATTGACATAAAGATGCGTTTAGGAACTATACATTTCTAACAGTATCACCTAAAGAAGCCGTATAAATAACGTGAAAACGTTTCGTAAATAAAAATATGTTTCATTCAGAACACATTCAGAACACGTAAAGAATAATTTCGCACGAGTCCATTTTAATTATTTAACAATACGTTTCGAGGTGGCTTGAATAATTTAATGAGTCGGTATCGAGGTGCCGCGTAGTAAGGACGTTTGCATGTTTCAGGATTGTAGGTACTTCTGTTGAATTATAAACCGTTTGAATGTTGTTTACTGGTCCGTAGTTATGCCGTTATACAGTTTGGACTGTATTATTTATTCGAGTAAACAACCTGACACCAAATACAAAATATTATACATAATCAGAATAATAGGAGCTATAGGGGTTTTGTTTACGTAAAATCAAACTATTCTAACGTTTTTCCAAATAATGTCAAATCTATTTTGGGTTATCGTTGCGTGTGTGATCGATGTATAAGTCGTTGTAAATTTTGACACCAAGTGACGTCACACGTAAGCAACTTTATTCAGCCGAATTTTGTAACGTTTACTGTTCTATTACAATTGATAAACTTTGGAAATATAAAATTCTATCATAATTTTTTTTCTATCCTGCAACTTAGCAATCTATTTCTTGAAAAAAATTATCTAATTTGTTGTCAGATTTTCATCAGGAAATGTTGAGTCAGCTGAGTTGTGTCCCTAGTGGTACCATTCTCATCGTATATCTGCAAATCTTTTTGCTAGGTCTCTATCATAATTAAGCGTTTGCTTTTATGACAGGCGTACGAGAGGCGGTTCCCGAACTGTCCTCAGATACCTGTGGTCCTGGACTGCTCCATCACGGAAGACAGCTGGTCTTCGGACGACTCCCAGAGGGACACGACACGACGGTGCCAGCTTAATGTTGAAGCTCCGTATCTTTTGAAGAAGGTAATTGGATTGTTGATTTTTAGTTAAGAATATAATAAAAAAGAATTACTAAAAGCCGTCTAGTAAATTTCTGTAAAATAACGTTTTCTGCAATATTGCATCCCCGCCCAATTCGCATGACTCGATTTGATACGAGTTAAGATACGAATGATTTTTTAATTTTGTGTTACCCGTTTGAAGGTGACGTCATTATACAAAATAGTGCGCACTCTATCAGAAATAAAATTGAAGCGGACGTAACATTCGCATTCGCAATTGTCAACATTATAAATATTGTTTTTATCCCGAATTTTAGTTTGATCCTATCTATCGTACCGTACTATCTACTGATGTTAATTTAATTTTCTTTGATCTTCTGTATTGGTCGCTAATTATGAATAAACCTTAAAAAATCTGAAGCAGCTATTCTGTCTAGTTGGTCGTAATTGACGGAGTTATCTTAGCAGTTGGTTAACTCGTTAAGCAAGCCGATTTTGATACCAAACGTAGTCATTTTACGTGCCTTATGTGGGTTGTCTATGCTACGACATAGTTTGTTTTGAATTGGACTAATATTTATTTGTCGGAGAAGCTACAATTATTAACACGATTGTCAGACATCATAGGGGCGAATAGGATGATCGAGCTTAGCAAACGAAAACGAATGACAGTTCTTATGACGGAGGCACCGCTTTTCAAGAGGGCTGGTTGGTAAGCGTGTAATGGCGTCTACGCGCCTCCATCGGCTAAGCTCTGTCTTAGCACGAAGTTACGATACCGCAATCGTGCTAGCATCTCGGGAATCGTGCTGCGTTTCGTTTAGCTACCAAATTAATGATCGTCTCCGACATATTATTATAGCACCCACAAGAACGGCTTCGCAAATAATTTAGTCGAGAAACAGTGTCTGGTGATGATGGTAGTGACTTTAGTAAATTCTTATTCACATACGCCCATACCACATGGATCATTTCATATTATCATTAGGGACTTTGGGGATTTTAAATAAATTGTTTTTTGTACTTATTCAAAATTACATACTCAGTTCATCTTCACAGATGATTGGTGTTGACTACGTGTACTTCATCCAGAAGAATCATCTGGATTTGAAGAGCAGGTTCCTAGAAATCGAAGCGACTAACGAGACGTTCGCCACTAGGGTCGGTGTGGTCGAGAAATGTAAATATTATGTGAGTACCTATATCCTGAAATTTCTCATTTTTAATTAGCAATTATAAATAATTATAGTACTATCGATTGCTTTCAATTATTTTTGCTCACTGTAGATCAACTTCGGACTCGCCAGCCAAGTCTTGGGCTCTCATTTTATTTTATTCATGGTTCCAAACCGGTTTCGGCCACGGCGACAAAAAATTTCTGTTTAATAACTTAACAGCTAATGTCCGCGCCTCTCATGCGCTCTAATATGGCTATGATAGCCTAGCTCGTTCTTAAACGTACGCAAATAGAAGCTACACGTAAGAACACCACCCATGAAGTTGTAAAAAATGGTGGAAGGCGGTCTATTTTGAGTTTATTTTGTCTGTCGTCCAGTTTGCGCCTCCTGTCGTTTTCAAAGATATACACGCCCTGCTGTACCAGGCGTCTTCACTCCAAACGATTCTGTGCTTGGGCCTCTCAACGAGACGGATCAATGTTGCATTTCTTCATAGGGCTTTTCTGAACATCCTTATACCTTAAGAATTGGCCGCCACTTTTTCGCTTGTCAGTCTGGAGTTCAGAGTAGAAGATGCGCTTTGCTATAATTAATAAAAAATGTCTTGGGCTACACTAACTACAAAGACCCCTTTTAGCATCATTTCAGAAACCTTAAACAGATTCAGAAATAAATGTTTGGCGCCAATTTGGTGGAAATCTCAACCTTTTACATCGTTAGAGCTGCTTGAGATATCATCGTTGAGATTACAAGCTTAATTCATTTGCATAATGATTCAACGAGGGCCGGGCTTACACGACCCCGAACCACTCAGCATCGTTTACATAAATATGTGGTTAATTTAGCGAGACTTACTGTCTGAACTAAAGTTATGACTCGTGTATGGCTTATGATGCTTTGATTATACACACATAAGAGTACTTTTTTTTATCCGGGATAATCCGCTGGGTCCAAACGTGGACCACTGTGGATTGCTCTTCGAGATTATGCTTGGGAGACGACGATAGCCCCGGTAGCAGACCGCAGTCCCCGCCCTCAGACTCTCATTCTGTTGCCAGTGTGCTAGAGTGATGGTAGCTGCTGTGTAGCCTTAACCCCCTCAGGTCACCCCGTGACTATGGCCGGGAGGAGACTGCCTCCTTACAGAGGCCGGAGCTGGGTGAAAGTCCCTCTTCGGCGACGACGGATCGGTGCGGAGAGGGATGGATCTCTCTCTCGTTTCGCCGCCCTTTTTCTGTAAGATGGTGGATTCCTAGAAGTTGAGGAACCTTAAGCGCTTGCGATGTGAACCTCCGCGCTCTAGCCTCTCCCACGCTAGGAGGCGGCTTCTGGATCCCTCTCTCGTTTCGCCGCCTTTTTCTGTAAGATGGTGGATTCCTAGAAGTTGAGGAACCTTAAGCGCTTGCGGTGTGAGCCTCCGCGCTTTAGCCTCTCCCACGCTAGGAGGCGGCTTCATCGTAGAGGGCACATCGTCATGCACAATCGGCGGCGAGCGCCTTGTCTATGGGTCCCAGGGAGGCGTGCCAGCTAAACACATGCCTCCTTGTAGGAGGCCGCATCATCCCCACATCGAGGTAGCGCATCACGGTTTCAGGCTCCCCGACCTTTGGAAAGAGCTGGCTCAATGAGTGCGGTTGCCATCAGCCGTTATAACATGATAGATGGCTAAACTCATAAACCAGCGGGAAAATGCGTACCACCAATCCAAGATCTATATGATACGTACCCTCGAATATGATGTGCAAAGTATCTGTTGATTCTTACACACAACTGGTCTCCTGTCTACCTTATGTGATATCTCCTTTATCTTGTTTTTTTAATATCGCAGAAACTCACGACAGACTTCAATTTTGGCATGTTGGAGTACCGGGATAATTTTGAGAAAAAAGAACTTCTCAAACAATATCCACATTGTAGGTCTCTAAGTATCAGTATTTTTTTGTTGGAAATAATTTCATTTCTATTCGGATCTTTGCATTGTTATCTTTTGTTTTTTTACTGTTAGGTGCACCCTGAGAATTCAGACTGGACGTGCTTCGAGCTGAGTGCCCTGCTCGACGTGAAGAACTTCTTCGGATTGGAGAGCACCGTGGAGAAGATCGCGATGAAACAATACGCCGCTAATATCGCTAAGGGTACGCAGATGTGATATTGGATAAACAGATTGTTGCATTTTAGGTATCCATTCTTTAAAAAAAAGACATAGCCTTCAGTACATTTGGAATGATCCATTCAAACTGTAACGCGTGATAGCTTTGTTTTCCAATATACAGAATACATTTTCTGGTGGGTAAGTCGTCTTGTGTACCAGTAAGTGCCATCGCCATGCCTATTTCTGCCGTGAAGTTTTTGTACTATAAGACTGTGATTTAGAACTCATGACTATGGTTGATGGCATGTATATTGTTGATTTCTATGGGCTCTGGTAACCATTTAACATCGGATGGAGCTTAAGCTGGACGCGCTTCCGTCTAAGCAACAAATAAACAAAGCAATAAGATTCATTCTTATTGTTCTACTGGTGGTAAGACCTTCTACTGATGGTAGGATCTTCTTGTGAGTCCGCGCGGGTAGGTACCACCACCCTGCCTATTTCTGCCGTGAAGCAGTAATGCGTTCCGGGTTGAAGGGTGGGGCAGCCGTTGTAACTATACTTGAGACCTTAGAACTTATATCTCAAGGTGGGTGGCGCATTTACGTCGTAGATGTCTATGGGCTCCAGTAACCACTAAACAACAGGTGGACTATGAGCTCGTCCACCTCTAAGTAATAAAAAAAAATATCAAAATTTTCCGTGATTTGCACCCTGGCAGTCACAATCACATTTTAGCAATAATCGAAAGACTTTTCAACCGAGCCAAAACAATAACCATCCATTTAACGACTAGGCAAAGAGCTGATCGAGTCCTTCATGATGGAAGTCCACGCTGACGGTATCAAAGAGCTCACGCCCTGGACCGCCGGTGACCCTCACAACAACAGGGAACTCCGAAGGATCGTCTCCAGAGGAACTGAACCGCTGTCACCGCGACCTTTGGCCGAAACTCGACAGCAATCGATACCAGGTATGTGGTCTCTCATCGTTTTTATTACCTTACAGTATAGCTAGTTTATGGTATACTGTAAGGTACTATAACTATTGATGGGTAAGGATTTCCATAAGGCGTCTCGAGTCGAGGAAGTAATAACAGGTGCTTCAAATAAAAAAAATTAACTGTTTCCAGCTGAAACATTTTGGATTAGTATTGTACCATATGACCCAAAATTTGCCATATCACCAGTAATTGTAGTGAAAATACAAAACAATATGATTAATCTATGTGCTAAATATTCCTTGTTGCTTTTTGGGTCCCTTTGACCGCAGATGAGCACACAGACCTGATCATGAATGGTCAACGATGCTCATGTACATCAGCTGTGGATATAACTGCATCACTGCCTAACTTTAGGGCTCTTTTTAAACCTCGTTTTGTCCTACATGATGTAAAGTGGCTACCGAAACCATAAACGTCACGATGTGAACGCCGCCCCCCACTGCGAACATGGGGTCGAAGCGCGTTGGTGCTGTATTCTATAAAGACGGTAGCGGGTATTGCGATGGTAAAAAAGAAATTACTGAATCATCTAAATAGTTTCCTCAGAGAACGCAAGCAAGCAAGTATAGAAGGTATGGCAATTGGCCCCAATGCGTCTGATCCCACATTTTGGCCGTAAATCACCAATCGTCTGACAGATTTATTGGGACGCCGCAAAAAAAATAATCAAAGACGTTCGATGTCACGAATGCGGACTTAACTATAAAAACACTGTAAAACGCTTCGACCTACATTCAGAATAGGGGTGTCAAAACTTCGTGGATATTAATTAAAGTTGTACGTTCTTGCGAAAGCGAGTGATTGTGTCTCGAGTGCGCAGACCCGGGATGCTTTTTGCAGAACCGTGATGTGACTTCGTTTTTTTTTTTTTATTGATTGGGCCACATTTTGCATGGTAATAACCCTAGCTTATAAACGTAAAAACGTGAATGTAATTTGAATGGTGGGGGTCAACATTTTTCGGGTATTATTCATCTATCAATCAATTGGGAGAGACTGTTAGTTACATATTTACCTCGAAAAATCATATAGTATGCTATACTGGCTAACTGGTATCTTTTTTCCCTACCTATTCGCTGGTAGCATAAGGGGCTATACCAGCTTACGCCCGGACGGGTAGGTGAGCTCACGGGCTCAACCTGAGAGAATTTGCTAACACTAGCCCTTGCAAGAGTGTACCACCGGATCGGAGTCTCGACCCACTGAGAAGATCCGTCGAAAAACTCAGTAGGCTATGTCTATGGGTTAGTTCGTTCGTCGAACTCCTCGTCGTAATCGTTATTTGTGGCCGTTTTAGAATTTAAAAGTGCTGGGATGAGAGGCAGAGGTAGAAGCAGATAATAAGCGTATCTTCCCCAAGGCTTAGGGTACCTATATGAAATATCGAAATGCTTGCCCTTTATACCGTACGTATTAACTTTTGTTGCGACACCCCTGTTTCGTATGGTAAGGAGCAAATAATTCGGTGTCGTCGCGTGTAATAGGAGCCGACCGAACGAACGCGAGGGTCGAAGATCAAAACGGCACTATAAATCTGCTCTGCCATTACCTCGACCTTGTTCCTGTGAGTTATTCACGAGACTTGAACGCGATTGAACACACTTTACGACGATTCGAGTTTTTTGGGTTTCTCTTATAGGCAGACGACATAAGGTCCACCGGATGCTTAACGCTTATAGACATCCGCAATGCTAGGACCAAGCCGCTGCCTACCACTGAGTACTTATCGCGAACGTCGTTTGAAGAAAGGCATGATATAATGTTCAGGGAACACCGAGAAGGGTGAATTCATTCCATAGCCGGATAATTCGTGGCAGAACATATCTCCAATTAAAAAAATAATAATTATAGCATCGCTTCGTGTAATAAAAATCAAACCCGCAAAAAATATAATTTGCGTAATCACTGGTGGTAGGACCTCTTGGGAGTCTGCACTGGTAGGTACCACCACCCCGCCTATTTCCGCCGTGAAGCAGTAATGCGTTTCGGTTTGAAGGGTGGGGGTAGCCGTTGTAACTATACTGAGACCTTAGAACTAATATCTCGAGGTGGGTGGTGCATTTACGTTGTAGATGTCTATGGGCTCCAGTAACCACTTAACACTAGGTTGGCTGTGAGCTCGTCTATCCATCAATGCAATAAAATAAAAATTAAAAAACTTGGTGTTGTTAAGTTAGTTAATTTATTTCTTCAATATGAACACTAAAAATTATTTTTATTAAGTTGTTCTATGAGCCATTGATATCTCTTCTTCAGCCCGTGTCTACCTAATGGTGAGTGTAGGTCTCTTCGAATGCACCCCATTCTCTTCGGTCTCTTGCCTTTCGCATCCAGTCCTTACCAACCACTTTGACCAGGTCATCGGTCCACCTCGTTGGTCACCGATATGACCACATTTATTTCATACATGGCGATGTCCACATTAAGACATGAACTCACCACAGACAGGACGATCGGTTCATCAGCATTGACGCGCAATATTATCATCAAAAATTGATACCTACCCGTGGAACGAACCATGGTCGCTAAACTACCAAGGATACAAATTTGTCCGCGCTGGAATAGCAAACTAGGCTACCAGCTAACACCAGCTGATCTTGAGTTGTTAGGTCTCCTTCGGAGGCGCTCGGGCAGCTGTTAGCAAATCCCACCCCTCCTGGCTGAGCCTTTGCTTGCCCACCTGTCCTGGTGAAACTGGAAAGACCTCCGGGCTACCAGCAATACATCAATCATAAAAAAAGGATTGCGTGGTTTTATGAAACCACGGTAAAAGTGAAACTTTTTTTCACATTATAGACATTTAACTCTGACAACCAACATTTACATTAAACACTGACAAAAACTAACAAAATAGCGTGGAGCACTGGCACAAATTAGTAATAGTCTACACACTACACGGTCAGCTGCTGCGAACGATAGGCGCTGCCATATTGGCCTTGGCTGCTCTGACGAGCGTCTTTCACTTTATCCCTACTCCGCGGCCGACCGTCACACGACATGCAACACACAGATAAAAAGTTTGAGACGATTTAATAAAAGTTTCACTTTAAAAAAATAAATCGGTTGGGTATAACAATAAATACCAATTTTTTTCTTTTAGGCTATTTAGACTCATTTTTAAGCTCATACAGAAATAAAAGGTGCTGTTCTGTAATGAAGTCTGGTATGATCAAACGTCGTAAAATTATATTTGACTAATGGTTTTTGCATGCAATGTGACATGATTAATAATCATATTACGCGCCATATTCACGGTGCAGTGTTACGCAGGGAAACCACCTTTGGGTTCTTCTGCGAGAAAAGATAGTGCCACATTGTATTTGATTATTATTGAAATCAATACTTCATTAACTTAATTACTGGTGGTAGGACGTCTTGTGAGTCCGTACGGGTAGGTACCACCACCCTGCCTATTTCTGCCGTGAAGCAGTAATGCGTTTCGGTATGAAGGGCGGGGCAGACGTTGTACTGCTAAAACTGAGACCTTACAACTCATGTCTCAAGGTGGGTGGCGGCATTTACGTTGTAGATGTCTATGGGCTCCAGTAACCGTTTAACATTAGAAGGGCCGTGAGCTCGTCCATCCATATAAGCTGTAAAAAACAAAAAAATATATATTACCTTGATGTACGTGACTATAACTCTGGTCTAGTTGAGATGTGGCTTAAACTCACAATTGTAACTTGAAATATTTTTGAGATCGTGTAACCAAACGCGAACAGAATGTTGAGAAGAAAAACCCATTATTCTAGAAGCAGGTCAACCTCGTATCTCTTAAGCCCTCAGTAAATTGGCAACCCTCGCTTCGTCGGCGTTTTAACACGTAATGAATATTTATCGCTGGTAGCACTGTCCTTACATTTACGCTCTATGTTTTTTTTTCATTTTTTGTAATGGACGCAATTTGCTTATTATTTGTAGGTTTTTTTAACGACATGTTTTTTTATTTCTTTTTTTATCGCTTAGATGGGTGGACGAGCTCACAGCCCACCTGGTGTAAAGTGGTTACTGGAGCCCATAGACATCTACAACGTTAATGCGCCACCCACCTTGAGATATAAGTTCTAAGGTCTCAGTATAGTTACAACGGCTACCCCACCCTTCAAACCGAAACGCATTATTGCTTCACGGCAGAAATAGGCAGGGTGGTGGTACCTACCCGTGCGGACTCACAAGAGGTCTACCACCACTAATTACGCAAATTATAATTTTGCGTGTTTGACACGATGCTATTCCTTCACCGTGGAAGTCAATCGTGAACATTTGTTAAGTACGTATTTCATTAGAAAAATTGGTACTCGCCTGCGGGATTCGAACACCTTTGCATCGCTAGATACGAATGCATCGGATGTCGTATCCTTTAGGCCACGACGACTTCAATGAACAAATTTAACGGAAGGAAAAGTCGCGTACGTCTACTTAAGAATATAAATCAATCGTATCAATCGTTTTAGCTTTGATTAGGTACTGAACAGTTCCACTGTTTTTATTAGTGTAGGATTCTCTTCCTGCAAAGTGAGGTGGTGACTAGTGGTCATACGATTCACATTCCTTAGTATTTGAGCCTGTTTGTCGCCAAGTAGTGATGCGTTTCGGTTTGCGGGTTGGAAAAGCGGGGTTGTTTTTTTTCGATCCATTTCTCAAGGTATCCATCCACCTACGGTATCTACGCCGGACGACTGTGGTAGCTAATTAATTTGTGGGTCGTAAGCTATTTCACACAAAAATGCAATAGAGCTTGGTTATTGAAAGCCTAATACATATTGAAAAGCTCGCAAATCCTCCGTTTACGTAAGAAGCTTTCTAGCACATCTGAGCGCACGGTCCGGGTAGTCAGTAAAACTTGAAGGTCCTTTGTATTATCGAAGTAGTAAAGGACATTTTAGATCGACTTGCCTTACTGTTATTCATGAAGGTTATTGCTTCTCGTTCCTTTTCAAATAAACAAGTTTGTAGTGTCTTATTTTACTTGTAAGACGAATAGGGTAAATTATAATAATGTGTTAGTTAATAC